CCCACGACCGGACCCAAAAAAAAAAAAAGAAACTAATCCTTTCCAAATCTAATGAACTTTTTCAAAAAGCTAAATGGGCAAGGGAGCTAAAGACAGTCTTCTAAAAAGAGGTTAAAATGGTAAATACACACATGAGGAAATATCATCATCCTTAGCCGTAAAGGAAATGCAAATCAAACCAACTGTGAGATACCATCTTACCCATTAGACTGGCCAAGATTCTGAATTCAGACAACAAATGCTGGAGGGGATGTGCACTGCTGGTGGGAATGTAAACTGACACAATCACTCTGGACAGCAGTCTGGAGGTTCATCAAAACCTAAACCTAGACCTTCCTTATGACCCAGCCACACCACTCCTAGGCATCTACCCTGAGCATCATGAGTCTGGATATGATAAAGACACCTGCACATGCATGTTCACTGCTGCACTGCTCACAATGGCCAGACCATGGAAACCGCCCAGATGACCCACTATAGACAAATGGACCCAAAAAATGTGGTACCTATATACAATGGATTTTACACAGCCATTAGAAAGGATAAATAATGGCATGCGCAAGAAAATGGACGGAACAAATCATGTTGAGTGAGGTAAGCCAAGATCAGAGAGGCAAATGGCACATGGTCTCCCTAATATGTGGATGTGAGATTTAAAATGCAACAGGATATGACCAAGTATACAGGATTCTAGACACCCATACACAGTGAGACCAAAAGAGGACAGTCTTAGGAGAAAAGTACCAAACTATAATACCCAAGAACCTCCTCATAGGTATATCATATATACATTGAAACAACTCCAAAGATAAGGAAACAAAGGACCCTTTCTTAATTTGCCTTATTGTTTTTAGATGACTCTGTGTTCTTCATCTCATCTACGGTGTATACATGTACACATCTGGGGGACACAGACCAGTGGAAAGTGGGTGAATATGTGCAGCTCCAGGGCCCACCCGCTGCATTGGACATTGAGGAAAGTGAACTACCAACTCTTGGGTGGAGAGAGGAGGAGGAGGGAACGAGACAGAATGAGGGAACAGATGATACAAAGCCCAAGGAAATAAATGTACTTATCACCTGACGTATGTAAAGGTAACCCCCTTGGATATCACCTCTAAAATAACAATAAAGTAATTTTTTTAAAAACACTGTATTTTTGTTTGATAGCTAAAAAAAAAAAAATCTTCATTTGTCAGTCCAAGATCACACAAAGGCTTTACTGATAATCTCTTCATGTTTTATCTCCAAATTATTAATAACTATAAAAGACTCCTTCTTTAAATAATTAATGTGCATAATTAGCCAGCCCCAGAGAAGCTGGCGTGGTGGCCCCGTACCTTCTTCTCCAGGGAGCTGCTCCACTCCTTCAGCAGGTTGACATGCTGCACTGCAGAGCTGGCCTCGTGCGCCTTGATCTGCTGGTTCGTCCCCTGAGAGAGCAAAGGCAAGTCCCAGTGAGCCAGTCCCTCCAGCTCCCACGGCAGCACCGCACCGCACCGCACGGGACAAAGGCGTCTTCATGTGCGCTCACCCCGGGCCCCCTAGCTCTGGCTGTGATTGCCACACCAAGAGAAAGCCGCTTCCAGCCTGCGTGCCTCCTTCCTCCAGCTGAATCATGTCTTAGCAACATTTCCCATTTGCCAGGTCAAGAAATCACATTTTAAACTCATTCCTGTTCCTCTATAAATTATTTTCTCATTGAATATCATTAGAGAATGTCCAGGAACTTGCAGTCACAGCTGAGTGCTGGGACAGTGGTCCCGAGAACGCACAACAAGAAGGATTCTGAGCAACTGCGTATTAACTGATGTCTTCACTGCACCCAAAAAGCTGCTGATCTTCCCCTGCCTGAGTATACTGAGAAAGTTACATACAAAAACATAAACAATCTACAGAGTACATAAGATGTAGACCATTAAAGAGTCAAGGATAATCACATTAAATAGTACTTCATATGTTTAATACGAGAATGCAATTTGTTTTGATACTGGAAAATTGAAAAGCCAGAGGAAGCATGTCTATGATCTCCAAAACATATACTCTGTACATAGAATATCCATATATGTATGTTGATATAAGCACTGCTCCATATCAGCATACATATACACATACACAGAGAATGAATGGCACTACGTACGACATTAACAGGGCTCCACCTCATCCGGGACTACAGCAAGGGGGAGCTATGCTCTTACTTACAGCATTGCACTTCTCAGACAATACCATGATGCCAGCTGTCTCTATGACTTCATAATAATGTATGAGTGGTACTTAAAATTAAGTATGCCATACTTTCATAATGATATATTTTGCCTTTCAGTAATGTAAAGATTAAGATGTACAATTAAATGAAAACTCAGTCCTAACTCACTAACCATTTCAGACAAGTTAAACAACTAAAATGCAGAAGCGGGTTTCTCCGGCTCAGTGTGCAGCACCCCCAATTCCCGGGGTAGGTATGGTTTCTATGCTCTGCGCTCCACTTGGATCAGTCAGTGCAGGCAAGAAAACAAAACACATTTATGGCCACGTGTGTGTGATGCTTACAGCTGAGTGCTGGCACACATGACATTAAAACTATGTCCAGTGATAATTCACTGTAGTCAAGAAACAGCTACCGCTTCTGTAGAAACACTACCAAGAGCAGCACTACCCACGACTCGCTGGTTTTGCTGTAGTTCTCCACATGTCCTGGCTTCTTCCTCAGCACAGGGTCTCAAACCCCCCCGGCCTGGCAAGCCAACACCCACGCCTGCTGCACCCACGCAGCAGGGTGTTTCAGTTTCACAATAGAGACTAAGAAGTCCAGCATGTGCATGTTAAAATGGTAACATCAGAACTTTCTCTCACAGCAGTACGTCAGGGACTGGGAAGGGCAGATGTTGGATACTGACCTGAAAAACGCAGCCATAGCGCTTAAAACTACACGTGCTGGGGGCATTGACACACTCTGACAAGTGTGCACTCAACTGCAACGGGAAAGAGACATGAGTTGTGGCACAAACGTTTGCATGAAAATGTTCAAACATATCAGGGCACAGAGAGCATCTGGGCTATATTGTTAAGGGTGTTTATCAAATCCAGGTGTGTACGCATCATCTGCCTATTACACTTAGAGGCAGTCAATATAGTTTTCTCACATGTACACACATACATACCAATATACAGATACATTTACATTTCTTAAACTTGAGGTCTCTTTAGAACAAATTGTTCAAAATGTGACATGCTATCTGAAGTGCCAGAATTAAAAAAGAAAGAAAAGGAAACATAAATTGAAATGCACATTTAAAGACTATAAACAAAAGTTACATGAAACACAAAAAATAGAAAGCATTAGGGATGCAACTGGGTCACACACCTAAATACAGTAGACAAAAATCCCCCGATTTTCAAAGTAAGCTCACATGCTACCACCCCAGTACTCCAAGGACTCAAGATAACTGGAGTGAGTTTTTCTTTCACACGAAAAGGCTTTTCCCTTCCAGCACAGGTTACTCAAAAGCTTTTCAAAGATCTCCATGACCATTCTAACACAAACCTGATGTCTCCTCTAATTGACTAGGAGGGACTGGAAACATACACCTTATCCCACAGGGAAAACCCCTCATTCAGCTCTAATACTAGTGAGGCAGTAAAAACACTTGTGATGCCCCAGGAAAAGAAATGAAATTTAAAAAAAAACCCAAACCTGTATTAAAGACATGGAATTGTGCACTTGGCTAATTCAACCGCAGTTCCAGGATGTGCTTTTGGTGTGTGGTCTTGCCCCCAGAGGCTTAAATATGGGGGCAGCACCTGAATAAAGCTGGAACTGGGACTTCTCAGTCTACCACAGGTGAGGCAGTCATTCCTCCAGGCTGTGTCTAGAGGACACCTGGCTCTCCATTAGTAAGGAAGAGGCTTGCGTGGAGCAATGGCTGAGAGACCCAGCCAGGCTCTGAGGATGGTCTGGGAGCCAGCCAGGGCTGAGCTCACCATTTCCCAGAACCTGGTCGGCAAGTCCTGAGCTATACCTAAGGAAATCAGACAAGGGCGCCCAGCCGGAGGTTAGCAAGGGACCTCATGGAGAAGGCTTCTAGCAAAGTCAATTCAAAACTAAAATACATTCTTCCAAGCCCATTAATATCATCAGAAACCTGAACGGTGAACACTGACACTGTTCCAGTCAAGGATGGACTGAGGGTGGCGCGGCAGCTTTGTGTCCTGCCTCCTTCTAACCTGTTGTCATCAGCACCCTCTAACACCTACAGAGTTCACAGGAGGCGAGACTAATCGACAGCCAAACAGCTCTTTTCACTTTAAGAGCGCTGCAGTTTAAAGGTCTTATTTTGAAATAAAAGCTCAGAAGCAAAACTAGAACCAACTCTGATCCTATTTCAGAGTGCTCTGAGTGAGCAGGGCTCGGGGATTCTGAGGCGCTGGAGGCTCCTCCCGCCAGCCCTGGCTGTGCCTTACCTCGCTCCTCAGCAGGGTCTGCACGCTGCACTTGTGAGGGCAGGACACTACCACACAAGGACACTCCGTGTCTTCGTGTTTCTACAGAGAAAAAGGAAACACGTCAACTCTCAACACACATCAGTCCCTGTGGACATCTCCCTGTAGATTAAAGGAAGCTATGCATGCAGTCATATGCTTTTTTTTTGGGGGGGGGTGTCAGTTGTGGGGCCTGAACTTTGGACTTTTTTCTTTTTGCTTATGTGGTGCTGAGGAATCGAACCCAGGGCCTCAGGCATGCAAGGCAAGCGCTCTACCACTGAGCCCCTTTCCAGCCCTTAAGTTGGATTTTGATAGGTGCCCAACTTCCCTCCACTAACGTAACACCGGTGGCCTGCCATCCTCCTGAGGGTATGTGCCACACCCCTCTGCCGATGCTATACCTTTCAATATTTGGCAACCCGAGAGGTTAAAAAAAATGCAGCAAATGGGCCTGCAGTTCTCTGGTAATGTTTAAAATATTGGTGAATTGTTGGTATTCTTTGTGCCTCTCAGGCTTCTGTCTACAGTAGTGGATGGAATCATTGAAAGGTGCCCCCTCAAGTTAAGACTGATGTCCATTCAGATCCTCAGTAATGGGACCTTATTTGGTCACAAAGACAGGGTCTCTGAAGGTGTAAACATGCTGGATTAGGCTGGACCCTAAACCTGATGAGCAGCATCTGGAGAAGAGGCAAAGACTTGTTTAGAAAGAGTGTCATGTGAATACAGAGGCAGAGGAGAGTGATGAAGGTAGGGGTGCTGGCAACCAGCAGGGGTTAGGAAGAGACAAGGAATCTCCCTCAGAGTTTGCAGAGATGTGCCACCTGGAAGCATGTGGGTTTCTCATTTCTAGACTCAGAAAGGTGAGAGTATACACATCTACTGTGGTAAGCCACCAACTGAGTTCACTATGATTAATAGCCAGAATAAAATGAATATTAATACACGTATTTAGTCTATTGGTTTGTAAGAATTCTGCATATTGATAAACTAAAAACATCTATAAACAAAAACTTTTGTTTTTGTTTTATGAGGCAAGGTCTCAATGCGTAGCTCAAGCTAGTCTTGAGCTCATGGTCTTTCTGCCTCACCTCCCACCTTGTTAGCATTACAGGTATGCACCACCGTATCTGGTTTAAATGGAATCTGATGTACACCCAGCACGTACAGGAGGTAGAAGGTGTAGCTACACAGTGACCATCCATAGAGCCACCACGCACCTGTCCATCCTCTCCTATTCTCATCCTCATTTGTTTCAAGGAGCAATCACTAAGACAATCCTCAACTTTTATTTACTTATTTTGGTGCTGGTCCTGGTACTTTGAACTTGGGGCCTGGGCACTGTCCCTGAGCTGTTTTGTTAAACTGGCACTCTACCACCTGAGACACTGCTCCACTTTTGGTGGAGCTCCATTTTTTTTGGTGGAGCTCCATATTTTGGGTGGTAAACTGGGGATAAGAGTCTTATGGACATTCTGCTTGGGCTGGCTTCAAATTGCAATCTTAGTTCTCAGCATCCTGAGTAGGCAGGATTATAAGTGCGGGCCACTGGTGCCCAGCTCTCAATTTAAAGAATTTTTTTCTACTTCTTTTCCTTAAAAATGTTTCATTTTTTTGGTTGGTCGTGAGGCCTGAACTCTGGGCCTTGGGCATTGTCCTTCAGCGCTTCAGCTCAAGGCTAGAGCTCTACCACTTGAGCCACAGTCCCACTTCTGGCTTTTTCTGCCTATGTGGTACTGAGGAATTGAACTCAGGGCCTCATGCATACAAGGCAAGCACTGTACCACTCTAACACAAGGCAAGCCGCATCACTTGTTTTGTGTGTGTGTGTGGCTGACAGTATTATTTCATTCTGGTTATTCTGGATTCTTCTACAATGCAATTCTACCACAGGAGTACAGAGTGAGCTGGCCCAGCACCATACTTCTTAAGCTAGCCTTGCTGTGTGGGGTGGCAGGCCCCGACTGGCACTGCTAGCTATGTGCACATGCGGTCATTTAGTTTTCTGTGCCATACTGCATCTAGTGATGGTGGAGAGAAACACGTACGAATAATTCTACAACATACAGAGGTCTCAAAAGTCTGAGAATGTGGCACCAGAGTCCATTCTTTCCTGATCCTCCTGCCTTCGCCTCCCAAGCTCTGGGAATACAGATGTCCACCACCACTTCCAGGAACCTTCCATTCTTGACAGCACTGTGTGAATGATGCGTCTTTCTCCTACTATGAAGAAATTCTGCTTTTCAACTATATTTCTCATTAGAAGCCTACAAGCAGTATGGCAAAGAGACATGTGAGAGCAGTTCTAAAACTTACTTAAGAGGCTCACACTCCTCTGACAGAGATCTGAGCTGTTTCCAGATGTCTGCTACCCTGCTGACCCTTGCCCAGATTTCCTGATAGGCATGTGCAATAGTTTCTCCTAGTATCCAGGAGAGGAACTGCGAATGAGTTGTGTACATGACGTTCCAATCTAACAAAGCATTGCTAAGTTGTCTTCCAAAGGGCTGTGGTGGTAAACCTACCTCACAGTGGTTGCACTTTCCTGTGTGATGTCTTCATAAAGCTAGCTTTTTCATAAACTAACAGCTCTCCTTGAAAAAACTGATATTTGATTATTTCTAGGCTAAATATACAGGCAATTTTTTTTTCTGACACTTCAAATTTTGCTAACACTAACCTATAGGGAAAAAAAAGCTTAGAGCCAGGCACCATTAGTCACGTCTTTAATCCTAGCTATTCCGGAGGCTGAGATCTGAGGCCTTGGTTTGAAGCCACCTTGGGCAGGAAAGTCTGGAGATTTATCTCCCATTAATCACCCATAGCTCAGAGGCAGAACTGGGGCACAAGTGGTAGAGTGCCAGCCTTGAACGAAAAGCTGAGGAACAAAACCCTGGCCCAGGCAGGCCTCACACTGGCACAAAATGAGACAGCTTAGAAACAGCTGACAAATCTTCATATAAACTGCAATCATCCAGCGTTTGCATACTTTGTCAATGTACATCTGATCACAACCAACCAAAATACACTAGGTCTGCTGCTCTTTTAAAAATAAAGTTCAGGCCTGAGAGGATGAGCTTACGTGTGCTGAAGCTGAGAGACCAAGCCGAGGAGGCTGAGGGCAGGGAGGCCACAGCACCTTGCTAGGTGTGTGAGGACCTGGGTGTGCACCTGCTCCACCCAGGACAGGAACGAAGCACACAAGTATTTTGTTAGCAGCAGGGATTATTGAGTGTGAAGGAGTCAAACAAGCTTGTTAAAGCTCCAAGCCTTAAAACACACTGTACTACCAACACCATAACGGCGGTAGGCAGTTGTCACAAAGTATAATGAAATTTATATGGAATATTTGTCTAACTTGCATGAGGCCCTAGGTTTGATTCCCCAGCACCACATAAGCAAAAAGAAAAAAGAAAAAAAGTCAGAAGTGGCGCTGTGGCTCAAGTGGTAGAGCACTAGCCTTGAGCTGAAGAGCTGAGGGACAGCGCCCAGGCCCAGAGTTCAGGCCCCATGACCAGACCCTCCCCCCCTCAAAAAAAAAATATTAGAAGAGTCTCACAGACTTTCCTGCCCGGGCTGGCTTTGAACTGCGATCCTCAGATCTCAGCCTCCTGAGTAGCTAGGATTACAGGTATAAGCTACTGGTACCAGCTATAATTCTTTCTCAAACAAAAATTAACTGCTAAATGATATTCTGCAAACAATTTTTAGATCAGGTGCAGTGGGACATGACTATAATCACAGCTACTTAGAAGGCAGAGGCAGAATGATACTGAGTTCAAGCCCAGTCCAGGCAAAAATACTGAGCCTGTCTCAAAAAGGAGGGGTATCTGGGGGTATGACTAGAGTGCTTGGCTCAGAATGCATAAGACCCTAGTTCATTCCTCAGTATTGAAAAAATATTTCATTTTTCTAAGAAGCAAAATATAACTTTAAGAACAATATGTTAATATGTATAAGATCAGGAATATTGTTCATTAGGTATGTATCTCTCTGTAAGTTAGCAACTAGAGGAATGACTCAATTATTATAAATACTATTGATGTTTCCCAAAGGGGAAGGCATAGTTCTTAAAAATTCTTAGTGACAAGCTGGGTGCTGGTGGCTCACACCTATAATCCTAGTTACTCACAAAGTTGACATCTGACGACCATGTTTCAAAGCCAGCCCAGGGAGAAGAGTTCATGGGACTCTTATTTCCACTTAACTTACAGAAAACTGGAAGTGGTGCTGTGGCTCAAAGTGGCAGAGCATTAGCCTTAAGTGAAAAAGCTTAGGGACAGTGCCCAGGCCCTGAGTTCAAGCCCCACAACTACTACCACCACCAAAAAAGTCTGTTTTGTGTTTTTTTTAAATTTTTTGGTTGGTCATAGGGCTTGAACTCTGGGCCTGGGTACTATCCCTGAGCTCTTCAGTTCAAGGCTAGTGCTCTACCACTTTGAGTCACAGCACCACTTCCAGCTTTTTCTGATTAATTAGAGATAAGAGTCTCATGGACTTTCCTTCTTACGCTGGCTTTGAACTGGGGTCCTTAAATCTCAGCCTCCTGTGCAGCTAGGATTACAGGCATGAGCTACTGGCGCCTGGCCAACAAAACATTCATAATGACTAGAATAACAGACTTTTGCTAACTTGTGATCTGGAATGTACACTAGGAGCTGAACAGGTGCGCTGAGCTCTGGCTCCGTCACCACCTCCCAAGTCCAGTCCCCTTGCTCAGCATCTCAGCAGTACTTGCCACCCAGACTCCCCAGCACCTGAACACCTTCCTCTTAGTCTCCTTTAATCAGCTGTTTCCAGACTTCTGTGAACTCTAACTTCCTCTCCTCTTGCTCCAGCCCCTTAGCCACAAAACTACCAGTTCAAATACACCCATGGCGTAGAGCCTGCTTCTCTTACTCCCTCTGCCAGTCTGTTACCTCCCACCAAGAAGCACCATGACAGACACTCTGCCCCACGGTCCGAGTGCTGGCATCACCCCATTCACACCCTTCCCATCATCAGCTAATCCCTTGCCCTACCTCACAACACACCCCAATATGGCTGCTCTCTTCCTCCCACACCCACCTCCCTGGCCATCCAGTACTTGATCCTTATCCTCATATCTGTCTACTCCCATCTCCAAATCCTGGGCTCCCTCACCGCTGAGCTCTCGGGAAAAATCTCCCTGAAGCTAGCCCTGATCCCCAATCCTCCCAGAAGCCAGGTGATCTTCTTCATAGTATGTACCAGCTCCTGACACTGTATTTGTGGGGACCACCAAGTGGGTACAGTTTTGTCCTCTACCTTTCTCTTCTGCATCTCCTCTTTCCTCTTTCATTTACACGGAAGCTAAAATGATCCCAATTCATACACACAGTACAGAACCACACCAAAATGAATGAGGCAGGTAAACATTTCCAACCCTCATCTCCAAGACAGACAGCTGCACTTCCACACTGCAAGATAAATTAGCTTGTTTCAAGTGATGGTTATGACACACAACGATGAAAAGCAATCTGTCAAAATTTTGAGGCCATTCTCTGGGACAAGTTACTAATTCTACCTTTTTTGAAATAATCATTCTTCATTTTTTTGATGCCCCAAATGATAGTCAATCAAGGCAATGGAAAATGTTAATTATATAAATCAAAATAGGCAAAACAAATACAGCTTTACTCTGAAATAAAGTTAGATGAAAATTGCTATTTAGTCCCATCTATCTCTTTATTCCCGCTAGAATCATCACTTAAAAGCCAGCCGCTCTGTGGAGAAGCGAGGAGCTGCATCTGAGCTGATCAGAGGGAGGTGGACCGGGCAATACCACACCTGCAGCGTGATCATTGGGACTTGGCTCTTGCAGTGATTACACGTGGCCTCCCGGTATTTACAGGCCTTCTCCACATGATCACGCAGGTCCTTCCTCTGTACTTTTTCTTTGCAGGCTGCACGCACGCAGGGAAGCTCCTCAAACTGGCACTCATTTTTTAGGTGCACCTGTAGAGGAAACCACAAGTTCTTAACTGACACACACAAAAAGTCTGAACTGCCAGATGCTAACCTCCACACAGTGAGACTACACGGCATGTTTGCAGTGTGCCATCAGACCAGCCAGCTCTTCACAGCGGAGCGGGGCACACCATGCTGTGGCCCACAAGCACAGTCAATTCTTCCAGATTAAGACAATGGTAGAACACTACAAAGAACTTCGTTTCACTCTAATTCAAACACTCTACCAGGATAAAATATGATATTAATAAATCTAGCTCAAACTCCTCTCTATTCTAACTAGGTGTCTGCCAATGATGTCATGAAAATGAGACTGCACATCTGGGGACGGGACCAATTTCTGTATGGCTGTGTTCTAAAAGAATATAGCAAACGTAGCCCTTAAGGTATCATCCTGCCTGGCTAGGTCATTAGCTGGATGAGGTGGGTGACCTGTTCTCCTAGTGTCAAAGCCTCTGGTGTCTGTCGGGTCTTACCAGCAGATGTCCCAGCATTAACTGCTCTGCACAACCTTTGCTTTCATTCCGACAATAGATCTGAAGGGCCAGAATTTCTCTCTTGCAGCAGTTATCCTTAAACACCTGTAATGGAAAGATGGTTTTTTCAGTTATTTCCATCACATCTGATATATTGGACAAGGCAAAACCACTTTATAAAGAGCTGAAGTCCAGCCAGGCACCGGTGGCTCACTCCTGTCATCCTAACTACTCAGGAGGCTGAGATCTAAGGATCGCAGCTCAAAGGCAGCCCGGGTAGGAAAGTCCGTGACACTCTTATCTCCAATAAACCACTAGAAAACCAGAAGTGGAGCTGTGGTGGTAGAGCGCTTGCCTTGAGCTGAGGAGCGCAGGGAAAAATGTCCAGGCCCAGGACTGACCAAAAGAAAAAAGAAAAAAAAATCTGAGGTCCAGAGTGGACCTCAGGAAACATTAGGACCATCTTAATTTCTACAAGTAGAACAAAGGTATTGTTTCCACTGAGATATAATTTAATTCATATAACATTAACTACTATCTCTTATTAGATAAACCTAAAACAAATGAATTACACCAAATTGGTGAAGATTACTTTGGATTATCCATGTTCCCAGAACGCTGTAACCTGGGCCAAAGGGTGGGCAGCAGCACACGCTGGAGTCACAGGAGTCAGAGCTAAGCAGCTCACAGACATGCTGGAGACACAGGAGTCAGAGCTAAGCAGCTCACAGCACATGCTGGAGACACAGGAGTCAGAGCTAAGCAGCTCACAGACATGCTGGAGACACAGGAGTCAGAGCTAAGCAGCTCTCAGACATGCTGGAGACACAGGAGTCAGAGCTAATCAGTTCACAGCACACGCTGGAGACACAGGAGTCAGAGCTAAGCAGCTCACAGCACATGCTGGAGACACAGGAGTCAGAGCTAATCAGCTCTCAGACACGCTGGAGACACAGGAGTCAGAGCTAAGCAGCTCACAGACATGCTGGAGACACGGGAATCAGAGCTAAGCAGGAGGCTGCAGTGTGTAGTCCTCCTCCTACCAAAGGAACTGGCAACATTCCCACTGGGTGCTAGCTAAGTCAAACCAACTGTGACACAAACCACACTTTGGGGTGATTTGTAAACAGATTTTGGTTTCTTCTCCTGAGGTTATGCTGCTTATAACTCATTTTTTTCCACCGGAAAGTAAGTTTTTAATATGTATCATGAAGGTCAATTTCGATTAAATGGTTCTCCTTGGACATAAAAACCTGCCAGGGCTTTGAAATTAAACCCCATTTAAAAATTTATGTTCCCTTTGAAAAAGGTTCACTTGCTCTTTCTAACAACATAGTGTACAGCACCTTAGTCCTTAGGCATTTCCCAACTCTACAGGCAGAAAAAGAATCAACAACTGTCAGTTAAAAAAAAAATCAGTTTATGGGGCTGGGAAGGTGGCTCAGTGGTAGAGCGTTTGCCTTGCATGCTCAAGGCCCTGGGTTCGATTCCTCAGCACCACATAAGTAAAAAGAAAAAAGCCGGAAGTGGCGCTGTGGCTCAAGTGGTAGAGCGCTAGCCTTGAGCTGAAGGATAGCGCCCAGGCCCAGAGTTCAGGCCCCACTACCGGACCCCAAAAAAAAAAAAAAAGCCAGAAGTGGCACTGTGGCTCAAGTGGTAGAGCACTAGCCTTGAGCTGAAGAGCTGAGGGACAGCGCCCAGGCCCAGAGTTCAGGCCCCACGATCGGACCCAAAAAACAAAACAAAAACAAAGGAAGCTATACAGCACAGTAGCCTAGTTCAGTCCTATGTGGAAAGCTCTGTCTATGCACACGACCGTGACGTGTTCTACCAGATGCCACACCAGCTGCTAAGGAGTGCTTCTGATACTCACAGGTACTGGGAGCTCAGGGTGCTCCTGCCTCGTGTACTCTACAGCAAACTGTCTTCACGGTGTATCAGTCTAATGTCTACTGCTCACTCCCAGCCAGCCTCCCTGCCTTGGGCTGCCAGCAGACCTCTCTTATGGCACAGCTGACTAGGGAGAAATCAGGAGCTGAGTCCATGGTACCAGCACTAAGCCTGCCTCACGCCTCTCATCCTCAAGTGCACACAGCCAAGAGGATAAGATCACAGCAGGAAGACTGAGGTGGAGGTGCAAGTGGATGATGGAGGAGAAGACAGACTGCTATGATCAGCTGAGGGCTCGAGACAGCCCAAGTGTGATTAGCCAGTGGGGGGGAGAGCGGGGTGGCCTCCCAGACCACTGTGCTCTGAGGGTAGCAACCTTGCAAAGTGCATCCTGCAGTGACTCAGCACCCAGCACAATGCCTGACAAATCACGATGAGGAAGATGCTTCCTTAGCCAGTGCTATCTCTGTCAGCACACCTCAGTTAGCCTCTGTGATCGTGGCAGCATCAGGACTCAGCTGGTGAGGGAGGCATGCTCTGTGTGCATGTGCAGTCTGAATTCTGCATAGGTGAGAGACCTGCCTTTCCTCGAGCTGACCATGACCACCCTCCACATGGACTAGCAGAACTCTAACATTTTAACGACTTACTGTCAACTCCCCACAACACCCGGGCCTTCTCAAGCAAGACGCAGTAATACACAGAGGTCACCATGCTTCATGGTCAGCATGGCTGACACTGCTGGGGGAGAGACTTTTTGGGAGCAGCTTGAGGAAGCAATTCGTGGTATGCGGAGGAAGGGCACACAGAGCCGCAGGAAGGTGTGTGCAGATCCTGAGCCTCCCTAGAGCTTTCTAAGCTAGGCTCTGAGTCTTACATCCTCAGGGATAGAAGCCTACAAGGTTTTACTCTTTTCTTTTTTATGCCAGTGCTTAAGTGTTAGCTTAAGGCTAACGCTTGAACACTTTAAGTCACACCTTCATTTGTGGGTTTGTTTTTTTTTTGTAATTAACTGGACATAAGATTCTCACAGACTTTCCTGCCCAGGCTGGCTTCGAACCATAATCCTCAGATCTCAGCCTCCTGAGATCAGATTATAGACAGAAGCCACCAGCACTCGGCCTAAGGTTTACTTTTTTTTTTTTTGGTCAGTGGTGGGGCCTGAACTCTGGGCCTGGGTGCTGTCTCTCTGCTCCTTAGCTCAAGGCTAGTGCTCTACCACATGAGCCACAGCACCACGTCTGCCTTTTTCTGTTTATGTGGTGCTCAGGAATTGAACTCAGGGCTTCAAGCATGCAAGGCAAGCACTCTACCACTGAGCCACCTTCCCAGCCCAAGGTTTCCTTTTGAGAGCACGAAGTAACCAGTGGGAGGGGAGAGGCCACAGGGGCTCTGGTCCAGCAACAGAAGGCATGCACGCACCCACCTGAGCAGGGCGGCCATGCAGCTCTCACAGAACCGGTGTCCACACTCGGTCTGCTTGGGGTTGCACAGCACCAGGCGGCACTTCTCACATTTGTACTTGTCCTCCACTGTCTTCACAAACTTCTCCTTGTAGCCTCCCTGGTCCGGGACAAACACAGCTCCGGTGCCACGGTCAGACTGCAGCTTCAGTGGTGGGTTGGGGTGCAGGGCGCCAGCAGACTCCATCTTTTTACTCGATTCCATTTTTGGAAAATAAAATTCTGCCAGGAGAGAAACAGCAATAAATAAATAAATAAATAGAGTGCCAAGTCAGGCACAGGTAGCACACACCTGTAATCCTAGCTACTCAGGAGACTGAAAGCTGAGGACTGTGGTTCAAAGCCAGCCCAGGCAGGAAAGTCCACGAAACTCTTATTGCCAATTAACCAGCAAAAAGTCGGAAGTGTAGCTGTGGCTCAAGTGACAGAGTGCTAGCCTTGAGCAAAAGAAGCTCAGGGACCATGCCTAGACCCTAAGTTCAAGCACACAGGCAAAAATATGAGAGGGGGGGAGAGAGAGAGGGGTGGGACAGAGACAGGAGAGAGAGAAAGAGAGAAGAGATGGGAGGGTGGGGAGAGAAAGAGCGAGAAGGGAAGGGAAGAAAAAGGAAGGGAAAGGGAGGGGTGGGTAGGAAAGGGGAGGGAAAACAGAGTAGTATCCTGTTATTCCATGCAAAAAAAACAAAAAAAAGCAAACAGTTTGCATAGCTTGCTCAGGCAAAAAGTCCCTAAGCAGCAGGCTTTCAGTTTTAACGTAAAGAAACGATCCTATTTCCTACTTCTATGATAGAAGTAGACATGACTACACAGCTTCCTTACTTCTACTATTAATGCTACTGCTCAAAATACTTTATAAAAAGTGTAACTAATAAACTGTTTTCAAAGCTGGGTGCTGGTGGCTCACATCTGTAATCCTAGCTACTCAGGAGGCTGAGATCTGAGGATTGAGGTTCAAAGCCAGCCTGGGCAGGTAAGTCTATGAAACTCGTCTCCAATTAACCACAGGAAGTGGTGCTGTAGCTTAAGTGGTAGAGCTCTTGCCTTGTGCTAAAGAGCTGAGGGACAGCACCTAGGCCCAGAGTTCAAGCCCCAGAAACGACCAAACACCAAAAAACCAAAAAACAAAAACTTTTCTAAGTTCTGTAAGATATACATACTAGGTGGGTGCTGGTGTGCACGTCTGCAATCCTAACTACTGAGGAGGGTGCAATTTAAGGACTGCAGTTCAAAATTAGCCTGGGAAGGAAAATCCAAATAAAGCTACCACAAAAGTGGGAAGTGGAATGATGGCTAAAATGGCAGATGCTAACTTTGAGCAAAGGAAGCTCAGAGATAGTGCCCACGCCCCACAATTCTCTCTCTCTCTCTCTCTCCCTCTCTCTCTCTCTCACACACACAATACTTTGCTCTGTTGTAACTTCAAACATTATACATCATTCACTGTCTTTCAGCCAAAGCAATATCCATTCTCACTTAATTTTCCTTCTCAGTGAACTTCTTGACCTTCCAGGTGGCCCTGCAGCACGCAGTGCGCATGTGGGGAGCACTATGTGCCTCCAGTTACCACAGCGGTACTTGTAGGCGACACACTCCCAGACAATGGCATCACTCTACTATGGATGTGGTAAAGCCAGGAGAACATGCCCACAGGACCCGGAGCGCCTGTCTCTGCCCGTTACCCTTGTACACCAGACCTGATTCACTCTGACTCAGAACTGCACACAACTGTGGCCTGCAGGGTGCCATCACAGCACACCATGAGCAGCACAGGGTGCAGGTCTCTGTACAAAGCTGAGACAGGCACCGAGGTGCCAGGGCTGGGGCTGGCACAGGCACAGGCGCGAGTCCTGTACCTGAGGATCTGTTTCTTTGCAAGGATGTCTTCTTGCCACCTCTAAGTTCCACTGATGAGCAAACGGACACTCCTAAAACGAGCCACAAAGATCCAGCTGGGACAGCGGTCAGCTGAGCCCGAGGTCAGTAAATAAAAATGTGTAAGGTAGATGGGGCTGGGAAGGTGGCTCAGTGGTAGAGCGCTTGCCTTGCATGCCTGAGGTCCTGGGTTCAATTCCTCAGCACCACATAAGCAAAAAGAAAAAGCCAGAAGTGGTGCTGTGGCTCAAGTGGTAAAGCGCTCGCCTTGAGCTGAAGAGCTGAAGGACAGTGCCCAGGCCCAGAGTTCAGGCCCCACGACCGGACCAAAAAAAAACAACAAAACAACAACAACAACAAAAAATGTGTAAGGTAAAAAGCAGTGAAGTAAGTTTCCTTAGGAAATATTAGATTTAATTAAAATTATACTTCCATTGATAAATATGCAATAATAATGGACTCATCATTCTTAGTATTTGCCAACAACACTTATCTGAATCGTGTATTAAGTGACTTCAGATAGTGGTATAATGGCTTCTCTTTATTTTTTGGATATTATTCAGTAAGTGTGTACTATTTTTTTGGGGGGGGGTGTCAGTTGTGGGGCTTGAACTCTGGGCCTTGGCACTGTCCCTCAGCTCTTCAGCTCAAAGCTAGCACTCTACCACTTGAGCCATATTGCCACTTCCAGTTTTCTGGTGGTTCATTGGAGATAAGAGTCTCACGGACTTTCTTGCCCGGGCTGGCTTTGAACCGAGATCCTCAGATCTCAGTCTCCTGAGCAGCTAGGATTACAGACGTGAGCCACCGGCACCAGGCAAAGTGTGAACTTTTATAATGAAAAATTTCGAATGCTGCACAGAAAGAATCAGGATCAAGCCACACACTGCCAGCTTTTCAGCCCAGGCTCTTTGCCCCTCTTTGATGTGGCCTCTGCTAGTTGGCTCCAGCAAATGGGTGGGCACCCGTACCTTCCAGTCTCTGGACCCAGTCACCTCCACTCTGACACTTGCTTCAGTAAAGAAGAGTATGTGACCAAATATGGACAGGACTTGGTGGCTTCAAGCAGACCCTTTTCTCAAATGCCTGCACCGGCCTCTACACTATGCAATTTACTTCCTATCTCTGTCTCCTCCGTCCTTTTCTCACACCATGCTATCTATTCACTAAAGGGACTTTAGAAGATTCTTTCAAAACTAAACTAGCTCTCTTGCCAGGTACTGTAATCCTAGCCAATCAGAAAGGCTGAGATCTGAGGACAGCAATTTAAAGCTCAAGCAAAAAGGTCCATTTAATTCTAATCTCCATTAAACCACCAAAAAAAACTGGAAGTGGAACGATGGTTCAAGTAGTAGAGGTGCCAGCTTTGAGCAAAAAAGCTAAGAGACAGCACCAAGGCCCCAAGTTCAAGCCCCAGTTCAGCCCCATCTCCCCCAAGTATGCACTGTGTTCCTGTTCAGTCTATTTTTGTTATTTAACAAGAATATGGAGGCTGGGGGTGTGACTCAAGTGGTAGAATGCTAGAAGAGCAAGGGTGAGGCCCTGAGTTGAAAACCCCTAGTACTGTTAAAAATTGAGGCAGGCTGGACGCCACTGGCTCACACCTGTAATTGTAGCTACTCAGGAGGCTGAGATCTGAGGATCACAGTTCAAAGCCAGCTCCGGCAGGAAAGTCCATGAGACTCTTATCTCCAATAAACAACCAGAAAACCGGAAGTGGCACTGTGGCTCAAGCGGCAGAGCGCTTGCCTTGAGCTGAAGAGCTGAGGGACAGCGCCCAGGCCAAGTTCAGGCCCCACAACCAGACCCTCCCCCCCTGCCAAAAAAAAAAACTGAGGTAGGAGAATTCTTTCTATTTACTGTCTCTCAGACCTGCAGGTCTCACCCTTCTTTCTACAGTATGAAACATGAAGCTGTCAGCCAGTGCCAAAGTCTCTCGCACACCCTCAGATGGCCCAGGGGAGACCCCAGGTGCCTGGGCATGGACTGGGTGCAGCACTGGCTTCTTCTACCCGGAGCCTGGTTCGGAATCCAAAAGAACTGTTTGCTTCATGGCTATGGTATCTGAAAATGACGTCCAGCAGCAGCATCCGGCAGATTAATGAAACATGGATTTTCAAGATAACCTCAACAGGTCAGTAACTTCTTCCAACCCTGCCCTTTGGAATGTGGTTCATGAAGATGGCGGCTGAGTGCTGTCAGACAGAAGGGCCAGCCAGGAGCCCCCTGCCTGCCACCCCCTTCCCTGTGTCCCTGCCCATGCCCTAGCCCACCCTGCAAGCCTCACCTCTGTGGTGCATCCCCTCCTCCGGGCTCCATCCGGCATGTCTGGCCTTGAGGACGGCACACTAAGTGTCTCTCCTTTTTTGCAGAACATAGGTAAGCTTTTGAGGACTCGAATTCCCATCTGTTTTGCTGACTAACAAAGCCCAGATACATAGAATAGAAGCTGCCAAGAACTCAGTGCTTAATACGTATTTGTGAGTTAATGAACAGGTGGGAAGGCAAGATCCCAGCTAGTCAGCCCAAATTCTTTCTTGACAAACTCACTCCTCCTGGAATGGAAAACTAATTGTTGGAGCTGATCTTATAGCTTTATGCCCTGAAGAGTCCTGCCAGGATTAGAAGCTACTTACCACAACCATTTCATATTTTACTCTACAGTGCCCAGGAGGCTATGTGCTCAATAAAGAGTAAGTGATGAGAAACACTGGCCCTTGGAAGGTGAATTCACGTTTCCTCATTTTTATTGTTATTATAAAGGTGATGTACAGAGGATAACAGTTACGTAAGTCAGGTGATGCGTGTGTTTCCTTAGGGGCAGGATCACCCCTTCCCTCGCTCTCCCCCAGTTTTTCCCTCCTGTCACATCCACAAGTGTTATAGTTCATTTTCAACACAATGTTTAACGAACACCACTGCAGCATTTGTTCACCATTTGTCCCTCCATCTGTGCCCCTGTGAGTTCACACTTCTAATCTGAAAGGGCAAGGACCAGGCTAATGTGATGCGATGTGTGCTCCTGTTGTAACAGCACGTCGTACTCTATGCTCTATACAAGCGAGGGAAGAATACAACCGAAGGTCTTTGTTTCACAGAAGAAAACTGAACAGATGCAAATGATACTCCAAGGGCATCAATGAAAAAAGCCTCATAGCAGCCCTGACCCACATGGCAAAGGAAAGCCCAAAGCCAAGAAAGTAGTTGTAACTTACACAGAGTACAAAGCTCCCACAAAGATATCCCTGTTGATGGGTCACGAAGGGCTTCTTACAGCCCCCAGCCGGCCCCTGACACGGGCCCTTCCTGAGCTCAGCTGCTGTCGGGAAAAGTCTTGAGGAAGGAGGAAA